TACGTTTCGAGATAATAAGAGTATCAACCAAGTCTCAGCAATGGCAAGACTAACGTGACACGTTGAGCAAGTGCGTCACTTTGAAGAACTCAAGATGCGCACCGCGTCTACACCCATGCTTGCTATGCTGTTTTTTAAGCTTTTCTTCTTGCAGATGGATGCAAGTACTTTTCCATTGGCGGCGCTATTTTTAAACGGAAGAACACGATGGGCGAATAAACGAGCGTAGCGCTTAAGGGCGCAAATACAAAAATGCCGAGAAGCATTATTACATCAGAGAGAAATAAATATTATTGACATTGTTCGATCTGACGGTTGGGAGACCTTACCTTCCAGACAAACCGTTCGATGTGGAGACGGATCACTAGTCGCAAGAGTGTAAATCCTGGCAGAAGAGCACTTCACGACGGATTGCTCGTTGGCATGACGGGCAAATTAAATATCTTACCACGCACAAGTATATCCCAGGCCCATTCAACGAAGTTGTGGATGCAATTTCGCGAAGATCTGATTTACAAGAGCAACATTCGCTGGAGATGATTATGGCAGCGGTAGTGCATTCAAGTGTGAAAAGGAATTGCAATTTTAATTGACGAAACAATCGAGCACCCCCATACCAAGACTTTAATACAAACACTGAGGAAATACAAGGTGGCTTCTAATGAGAGGTTCAGGTGCTTCGGGTGATACACTCTCGAAGGGGAGAAACTGAATAACCGTGGACCCAATGACGAAGCGCCTCGATTGGCCCCCCCTGACAATAGCGAGCTTATAATTTCTCTCTTATTGAGTGGCTTATAATATTCCGGTATTGAACGAGCCCTTCGTCTGGAAGAGTAGCACTACTACTGCAAGCATATGACGAGAAGCTTGCGTGCTTGCGTTAAAGCCTGTGAGACGTGCCAAAGCCCTAACGCCCGGAACATGAAGCCACATGGTGGATTACTTCAATGCCAGCCGACATCACACGGACGATGGACATACGTTGCCATGGATTTTATGGCATTACCGAAGCCTGGATCGAATTCAAAGGCCTAGTATACCAGCTCACTAAGCATGCGGACTTCATCGCGTGCAGAGGCCCTACTACGACACATAATATTACTGGACTGTGTCGTGACTGCATCGCTGCCCTGTATTGTTTTCCGGCGAGATACGTTCCGATAGGGATACAAAGTTTACCGCTACGGTCTGGGCGACATTATGCGGGATGCATAAGACTCGACAAAAATTGATGACCGCATTTCAACACCAAGCAAATGGAGTAGCAGAGCGTCGCGTCTCCGCCAAGCTACTGGGAATGACTTGCGGAAATTTCGAATGGCGCATCAACGGACAGGTACTTTTACATCTCCTTAACAGAGCTCACAAATATTTGGAGATATCAGCAGTCCATCGGCATGGCTCCCTTTGCAGCCGACTTAGGGACATTGCCGTCGACACCAGCAGCCCTTCTAAGTCCACTGAGGGCGGCAAGCTTAGGAAACAACGTCAAGCGTTGTGGAAGATGTTCCTTGAACACCAAGCTGACCGGTTAGCTATTGTGCGCCGTGAACGCCAGCAATCGTCTGGCCGTATGAACGAGTGCTACAATTATAGCATATCATTTGAGGATGGAATAGAAATTGCTACTACCAACGAAAATATGGTCACTTACCATGCTGGCACAATGAAGCAGAATTTGAGAGCTCCCTGGATCGTCCCGTTGTTATACTGAATCGACTAGAATACTGTAGGACTATTGCAAAATTAAGCTACCTAAAGGCGATTAATTTCACCCCGTCTTTTATACAAACTATCTCAAGATTAAATATGCTGATCGCATCTAAGAGCAAAACCTGTTCAAGGTACAGCTACTACACCTTTGGCCGTCCACACATAGAATAATTTTAAGCAAAGTGGACAATATGTGTTTTACTATTACAAACATATAATTACGGGATCAAAATTACCAGTGAATCAGAGAATAGTCTTATTCAAACGAGACGACTCAGTGAGCTACTTCCCGTAGACCATGTCTTTCATCTCCTCGGTCGCGTTCACCGCATCGCGATCGTGAAGCTCCATCTTCGTCACTAATGTAGGGGTTATATACTTCATACTCGCTTCTGCAGCCTTCTCTAAGAAGCGCGTAGTGCGCTCCTTAGTTGTTATTGGGGTGCTGTCTTCTTCCACCATGTTACTCCGGTCGCAGATCTCTTCGCGATACAAGGCTAGGTATACCTTGATTCGAGCTTTCTAAACGGAGAAGCAACCCTCAATTGGGTTGCATATCGGTGAGTAGAGTCCGAGTCGTAGGCGTACGAGGTCGTCACGTGCTTCGACACGCTCTTCGATTTGGCGGTGAGCGGGGGCATTATCCAGGACAATAACAACCTTCTTCCCAGCGAAGCTGTCATGAAACACGGGGGACACCATAACCGTCCGGTAGATTTCCTCAATGAAAGCCGCATTCTGCTCCATTCGGATGCTTTCCCTCTCCAGACGGTGGAGAACCACACCCATGGCCGAGCTTACAGCGCATTGGACTTGCAAGTTTGCACCCTTGGACGGCGGCATCACGAGCGTTGCACGCTCACCTCTCTGTGCACGTCCTCGACCTCGCGTACAGTAAACGTTGTAGTTAGTCTCATCAAGATAGATTATACAGTATCCGCTCTTTTGATGGTCTTTCAGCGATTTTGCGAACTCCCGCCGCTTGGTCTTATTGATCTCGTTGCTGCATGTCATGGGCTCTATGGGTGTCTGTTCGACGGTGAGCAGCATGCCAAGCTAGTGGCGGCTGATCGTTGAGGTGGAGACCCGCACGTTCGTATCTAAAAAGAGCATCGTGCGCATAGCCTCCAGGGTGAAGGTTCAATTGTCGTCAAGGTATTCCTCCAGCTTGGTATTTGCTTCTGATGTCATCCTCACAGTGCTACCACGAGCACCACCGCGCGGTAGGTCTTCTATGCGCCCTGCGGCTACAGTGCGGTATGACACCGCGCGCGATATGCTGTTACCTAAATCCAGTCGGCGCGTCCTGCGCGATGCGCAGCTAGGACACGGAGCTTCTCAGCGGGGGAGGGCTTGCAGAGGAGTAGTCGGAAAGGCATTTGCGTCTGAAGAGACGATTTGGAAAGTGAACTGCTTCAGGCGAGGTTTTCGCGCGCATTTTGGCGCCAACGCACCCTCACCACCCCTTCACTAATGATTCCAGTCGTCGCCTTTCCTTGTCTTGCTTTGGATGAGATCTTTCTCTGTTTGTTTGTTGATTACTTTTTCTTAAGTTAAAATTTGTACTACAAACACCAAATTGTCCACTTTGCTTGAAATGATTCGCTGTTTGGACGGGCAAAGGTGTAGATGACACCAAGGGCGAGCTGGCTGATGATATTGTTGGACACAAGCGTGTTCATGAAAAACCATACTATGAAGGCTAATTGACCGGCAAAAGTCAAGCCACGTTGAAAACTTCGGAAAAACTCAACTCATGAGCAACCTGATCAATTGCTATCACGAACGCAATAGCAGTAAGCCTAAAACCCACGGCGTGCTAGTATCACTGCCTCCATTAGTATCAGCGGTGCCGTACGGCAAAATGAGTGCAACGACAGGCCATCGCTGACCATAAGGTAGTTCGAATTTGTAATACTTGGTTTACGTAGGCCTGAAATCCAGGCACCGCAATCCGTCTCTACCGCTGTGCGTTTGCTTCGTCAGTTCCCACACTCTCTGACCGGGTAGATAGGAGGTCCTGGAAAGATGCCATCGCCGAAATCACTTGGTGCACCTTGTGGTCATCATTAGAAAGTTGATCCAGTATAAACTCGTTCGGTGATGACTGTATTATTGTCGTGCAATGGGCAGGTGACAAAACTGTATATTAGAATAAACATGCAGCATTATAATTTGTTTTAAAATCGCATTACAATAGGCTTTAGAAAGTCCGATTCGTATTCATTAATTTTAAAAAATACGAACCGGACTTTCTAAAGCCTATTGTAGTGCGATTTATACTTAATTTTGCAAGTAAATTTCATTACGAATTTGTAAAACATGCATAAATGCTTAAGCTTAGCTTGCTAGCCGCAATCTAACATTTGCAATCGTGCTTGTTTAACGTAATATTCTACATTTAGGTTTCTTAAACCAAGCATTTATGCATATCTTACAAATACTTCCGCAACTTTTTTAATTCAAGAAAATGAAGTTAGAGCAGCCGCCTAATTGTCATCAAGGTGGACTGGATCAACTACGTTCTGCAGACCGGAGCGGGAAGCAGCGCCTCCGCCACCAACGCGGAAGAGCTTCTAGTACTGATATGGACGAAGCGTGCGCTCAGTGGGGGAAGAGCCGTGGAGCTCTGCCGCCAAAGCTCGCTAACTATACCGTTTGAGGGAGATGGCCTGGTACCTGTCATACGAGCTGACACGCTGGCTGTCGTGTCTGTCCCACGACAACACGTTCTGGATTGTGCGTGTAGCAAAAAGAGTAAAAAAGGTGCCAGCATGTTCGAACCCCCAGCCGGTACAGACTCAAATGTGCTGCAAAACCGCAAATCCCCAGACGTGGACGTACAAGACAAGCGGCCAGTCACGCGACGCAGGACGCTGGCAGCCCAGGCAAGTGCAGACGCTACGGAGCTAGGAGAGACGCCCATGGGCGTGTCGACGTCGTCGGAAGCAGGTGATGAAGACGATGCCGACGTACTCGCCGTACTGCAGCAGAACCGCTCATTGACCCACGATGCGGTGCCCGCCAGTGGTACCGTCACTAACGGAGGCGGGACAACATCAATGTTGGCAATGGAGGAGGCGCGTGGGCGCTAGGCCACGACGTTTCGCCCAACGACACTTGAGCAGCAGATCTACAACGTCATTGTCCACACTGACAACCAAGGTAAGGACGCTCAATGTATTCTTGAATGTACACAGACCCGTGAATCTCGCATCCGAGGAGCTCCGCCTGTTTTACGCGGGGCATTTGATTTCGGATTTCATGTTCGCGGCCTCTCCGTCATGCACTTAGAGCGCGTACGGCGAGCGACACCGCTGGATGCGTCCGGTTCCGTGATCAATATGACAGAATTGTTCCAGGAAGAACGGCCTCCAATCAACCACAACCGACCCTTCGTACGCAGTGTTCATGGATGTGCTGACTAATCTCCGTCATTCGGAAGGAAGTTTTCAACGCAGACACTATGGACGTTCTGAATGCTGCTGTCAAGTTTATTGAGGATTTCGCTGACGAAAATGAACCGGACAGAGAAACAACGAAGCGCCTGCTGCTATGGATCAATATGAGGCTGGGCAAGTTTCGTGGTCTGGTCATCTCTGACGGCCTGGCGGTAGAAATCCTAGTCAAAGACGAGTTCTCCCTTCACGACTCGCTACTGGCGGAACTGCTCTATGATCTACTAAAAGCTAAACTGATCAAGCTGGAGGCTATGCTGAAAGCGCAACAACACGCGACCACTTCGATGCATAGCCGGCCGCGAGAGTCTCGACCGACCAAACAAAATAGCGGAATACCCAAGAGCCTGGCGCGCACTTTGCCGAAGCAAGGATCGCTCGAGCTGTGTCTCAAGTACCTGTCACAAACTGGGTACAATGGAAACGGTGTCCCAGGAAAGTGTTTTTCCAAGTACCGCGCACATTTTCTGCCCAACTCACTCTCTCCAGAAGCCAAGACCCATATTGAGACCCACTTGGGCGGACTTGCACCGGAGTTCGTCGACCCCTGACGTGGAAGGGTCTCCGGCGTACCTTTGCACACTTCTCCACTGTGTCCAACTGCAGCTAGTCTAGAATTAAACGACAATGCTGTACGTGAGCGGATGACCGCGACACATAACAAATACATGAGCAATTTGGAGACACTTAGTAGGACGGAGACTGCGAAAGAAGTGGCGACGGCTGCAGCAAAATACGGCGTAAAGCCCCTGAAGTCGCTGGGTGAGGAGCTTACGACGGAAATCGATGCCAACATGGTCGCGTTCCATACCAATCTCGCTATCGCCTCCGCCCTCCCATTGGCAGACTTTGTCCGCCTCGTGCGGGGACAAACTACAGATGATCCCCGCCCGAACAAGGATCTGTATGAGCTGCCCCGACCCCAGGACACCTCGCTAGTAGATACGTGGCGTCGGTGGAACGAAGTCGTTGCCCAAGGAGTATTACCGGAGTGGTTATCTACCCGACAGCAATCACGTCCACGCAACCATGGCTCCATCCACCAACAACCCCCGCAAATATGGACACATATTCGTAAGGGTCAGAAGGAATGCCGCTACATCGTGGTGCAAGCATCGTTGGCGGAGCAGTGGCAGGACATATACGTCTCTCCGGTCGGAGTCGTCGAAAAGGACAGCACAGAGGTCCGGATCATCAATGATTACTCATTTCCTGAAGGTGCATCCATTAACGATTTCACTGATCGAGCAAATTTTCCGGTAATCAAGTACAACCCTCCTGGGGACATCTCTCGTCTAATTTTGACTCTACGCAGAGGCCATCCGAGCGCCCCTATCCTGATGATGCTTGGGGGTGTTTCGGGCGAATTCCGACACGTGCCAATTCACGCTGACCATGTGCACATGTTCACATTCGTGATCGGAGATTATTAAGTTATAGATTTGGCGTGTGGGTTTGGATGGTGTGTGTCCCCAGCTTGGTTCTTCGTCCCCGGCATGCTCATCAACCGTCTCTACGAAGAGACCTCAGTCTCGATGGCAGCATCTCCTCGCCCCCTGACTGGGCTGTTCTGGTGTGACGACCACACCTGCGTTGAAGTGGAGGACGGCCTCCGCTGCTTTGAAGCAAACATCGAGTTACGCCGAGCGATGGCGACGGTTCTGGGTCCGGCTGCGATCAATACACGCAAGCTTACCGACTGGAAGCAGCAAGGCCGGGCACTTGGCCTCAACTCGGATACTCAAGCCGGTACAGTCACCATTCAGCCAGATAAGATGAAGAAGGCCGAAAGCCGAGTGGATACCCTTATCGTCAATGAAGCGTCTACAAAAACCGGTCTGCTTCGGCTCTTAGGCTCACTCCGACACATATCTTCCTGCTGTCCACCAGCCCCGGCTTTCTATCAGCGAATCCAATCTGTGGCGTCCGGTGCGCAGCGCTACGCTCGTATTGCGCCGTGTCAGCAAACGCTTGAGGACCTCAAGTGGTTTCGATATATCCTTCAGCACCACGATAGATTTAACGGAATCCCGGTGTTCCAGTTCTCAAGGCAGGCTACAGCGATGGTGCACGTGCACATGGACGCCTCTGACGAAGGACGGTGCGTTCTAGAGCCACAACTCCGTCAATATGCCCGGGTACGGTTCACAGCCGCAACAGAAAAGGAGTTTAAAGCAGACTGTGCGGCTAACTCGATTAATGTACGGGAACTTCAAAGTGGCGTTCTTGCAGCACTCATTTAGGGCCCGGCGTGGGCGCAGCAGTTTCGCCGACAACGGGTTCACGTATGCTTCTGGATCGACCCAGCGCCGTCTCATGGGCGCGACGCCGGTCCAGTAGCCGAGCACAAGCTCAAACGTATCTAAGATTACTCTCGATTGCAGAATTTCAATACTCACTGGCATGCACAGCCCGCAACGTGCCTGGTGTCGACAATACTATGGCGGATGCGGGTTCACAAGCCTGGAGTATGGACCATGCACTTTACAAAACCTGGACTGACTTGTCGTGTGGATTGACACAGGTGCAGGTGCCCGCGCCTTTCGAGAGTCTCTCATGCTTCTGGGATCAATGCTGCGTGGCCATGCCATCGCCGAGTCTACCAACACTACCTATCGCGCACATTGGAATCAGTGGGTACGATTCGCTAAGTATATGAAGTGGTCGGAATGGTTGATAACAATTTACAGGAGAACAGCTCCCATCTAAAACTATTCGCTATTTACTGTTGGAAATACGACTGGCGCCCTCGATCCGGCGGTGACCAATACGAAACTGTCGTACTAAAGCTCTCCAGTATCAGGTGGTACCATCGACGCTTCGCTGGAGTGGAAGTCAAGCATGGCCCCGATCTCGACGTTCTATTGCGAGGAATTAGGTGACTCTCGGACCCAGTGGGGATAAAGCAGCCAGTCACGCCAGCATTTCTCCGGCTGCTACATCGACATCTCGACTTCGATCACCCCCGTAGCCGCCTATTGTGGGGTTCCGTCCTGCTGGCTTTCTTTTTCTTACTTCGGCGCTCTGAGTATCTCCGAGTGGAGTCAGGCCGGCACGCGTACTGCCTTAGGATTGACAGCACATATTTTTCGGATCATCGAGGTTATCGGAATTCATACAAACCTGCTACAGCAGTTACGATCGGTTTGACTGGCGCAAAAAATGATCAATTTGGTCGGGGTGCTTGGAGGACTATGCATGCAACCGGAGACAATTTGCTGTGTCCGAAGAGATCACTTAACCACATTCTGCAAGCGCGAAAGAAATTGGGGTACGATGCGGCGCCATATTTGTGCGTGGATCTCAGCGCCGAGGAAGTGGCCCAAGCGTTGAAGCCCCTGGCAGCAGGACTAGCTGTCCCACCAGAAAACTACTCTACCCATTCGGCTCGCATCGGAGGCGCAACTGCCCTGCTCAGTGGCGAGGCCGACAGTCTCGCTATTAAGTTACTTGGTCGCTGGATGAGCAATAGCTATGAGAGCTATCCTGTACGAGCTGCTGATGCTACTATGAGGCTGTCGCGCCGAATGATCTAGAATCCGACTAGGTATTCGGTCCAACCCAACTCCGACACCGCGACGAGCACATCTGTATGGGGGGGGGGGGTGCTTACCGCGCCCTCAATCTTGGGTTCGTGTGAATAATACATGATTGCCTCCTCTTACGCTGATGTCTTGTGTATTGGAAATGGAGAAATATCCAAGATGGATATTGAGGTTTTCAATCAGCAAGTCTCTGCTTCGAGCGACAAGAGAAAAACCACCAAAGACTAGTGATAGACTGACATAGACTATGCAGGTGATCGAATGGGGGAACTTCCTCACTCGAAGACTTTCTCGCTCAAAGCTAACCCGCCTCACCGCGCCCTCAATCTTGGGTTCGTGTGAATAATACATGATTGCCCCCTCTTACGCTGATGTCTGGAAACGATCGATTTCATTTTATTGGAAAACATTTGTACACCCAAGCATTTGCTTGGTTTTATAAGCAATAGGGTACCGACCAAACAAAAAATGAAGAAAATTCAAGAATGTGGCGTTTTAGAATTTTAGCAATCTGATGTTGTAGCATGCTTGTAGGTGGCGGTCGAAAGGGTGCGTTTTGTGCATGGCGGGTGGACTTTGGTTCGTGAAATCCGTGCCGCGGCTCTCCGAGTTTACTTCTATAAAATGAATCCCATTTCTTGAAGATGGCGACCGGACACAGCTTCTGGGGATGGAACAAGCTCTAACAAATGGTTTTTCACATGACCAAAGTAGGGTATTTTTCGCGAGCAAGGATCCTTTAGACGGGATATTTATCAGGATAATGATACAACGAGCGATCAATTTATCAGAAGAAGATACAATGAATCTGATTGGCCATAACAATATGCGCTACATTCATTCATAAAAATAAAAACCTGAGGGAATATCATAAAAAATATTTGCGGAACAGGAAGCCACCATCAACAGAGGACTATTGTCGACGCGTGGGCCCCTCGTCGTCACGCGCGCAGCTCACTACCACGCACACAAAATGTGCATCGTGGTAGTTTGTACACTGCACCAGTTATGGACGAAGAGATTTCCGTGGGCGGTTCAAGGTGTAGATTGACTTCTCGAGTGAGTGTAATGTGACTAAACTAATGACGTTATTTAACAGGCATTAAGCAGAGTGAATATCTTCCAGAGCAGCATTCCACTCAGCTGGAACAAACGCAGATGTGTGGGTCGGACAACTCGTTGTGTTGAACGTTTCGCTGTTGCTGACATTGGTTATGCACCTGTTGGTTTCTGAAGTGTTGATAACTGGTGCCGAAGCGAGCATATTGACGCTCACGTTTGGTCGATAGTGTTCTAACCCCGCTCACATACAGAGGTACGCGTCAAATCTGCATCACTATGTTGTCAACTCTAATCTCTCGCACACGATACTGCATTAAATGTCTACTATGTGACACTGACAGCCTTTGATGGAAGAACTTTATTGCGCCCTCAGACATGGCATTCATTACCTAGCGTTGCTGCTAAATGCACACTCCTCATAATACGGTGTATTGCTATTTGATTAAATAAGGAGCTCTAACACAAAAACTTCAATATGAGAAAGGTGTTGTTGTTCTAGGCTCGTTCTTTCTCGACGTCCTTTATTCAAAGAATCTCCAGCTACTGCTTAAGAATGTTTTCGCTATTATTGAGCTAGTAGCAGTGTGAGGTGTGGTAATAAAGCCCGGGGCTACGAAGACGAGGGAGAAAGCCATCGAAAGTGGAAGCTGGAGATGGCGCTTTTCTTACAGGAATTACTCGGTGCGTGCTCAGCTACTAATGACTCGTTGCGTTAGATCTAACAACTTCTAATATTTTGGTGGGCTTTGAGGTGGTGGCGGATATATTGCAGCGTGTGCAAGGCCTTTCAAGGTAATCGTTCACATCAGTTCACACTGGTTGCCGTCCCTTACAATACTCCGTGTTGATTTACGATCCTTCAGGATATTGAAGATAATATTCTCACACTGACGGCACCAATTAGTTATAATATTATGTGTATATTCCGTTGTTTACTTGTAGGTTTTGATCTCCCTTTCATATTCTTCGCTTTTTCCACAGGCAACGAATGGACATTCTGCAGCAACGTAAATACCTGGCACGATACTTACTCCAGCTTCCTCTATCTCTATCCGTGGTGTCGTGCAGCTCCTCACGCTATGACCGGCTTCTTTACAGCGGCTGCATGTGTACGTTTCTCGTTTGCTTCTCCTCGCGCCCTTCACTTGCGAGTTGAAAAACTCTGCAATGGCCTTGCTATCATCATCGCTGTGTACATCACTAGGCACACACTGATGAACTATTGGAGCCGTTGACCCAGCACATTCACCTCGGTTTGGCGTTCTTCTTTTACCAGTTGCAAAGTCTCTGGCTTCTTTCGAGCGCTTGCGTGATTGACCAGCTTGACGATATAACGGTGGGGGCTTGACTTCGTTTGTCTGCTCAAGTTCGTCAAACAGAGGAAGACTGATAACAGTGGAGTCAAAGGCCTCTACCATTTTCGACACGGTGTAAGCTTCATGGAAGTAGTGCTTGATATCATAGGCCGGAAGTCCACTATTTGTCTGACTTGATCTCCAGAAAGTGACTGCCTGCATGTGACGGCAAGGGACTTGCATTTGTTCAGCAACAGTGCATCGAGTGCAAGTTCCACAATCCATGTTTACTTCGTAGAGATGTGCGTCCCCACCTAAACCGCGGCTATCAAAGGCGTCGAAGACGTAGAAGAGAGACTCGTCTCTCTGCACGACTGTCTGATGAGCTACCAGTTCTTTCTCCTTTTCGAACTCCTTCAGAGCGTGAGGAGTGATATCACAACTTGCACTATTCCACTCCTGGACGAGCTCCTTACGCTTCTGCAAATTTTTGAGTGCTCTTGTACAGTACGTCATGACTGAACTTAGCACAAGTTGGGTCCGCACACGTCCCCATAGTAGCCCGTTATTCTCTCCTTCGACAGCACTCGTAGTGCGGATACCAAACAGAGGCAAAGCGTCGCCGTGCATTGGGACAGAAGACCAGTTATCGTCTATCCACTTTAATTCCTTTGTTGTTGCCTTCATATTACCGACAACACACCAATCTGTGGGATAAATACTGCAAAGGTAGCTCCAAACGTGCTCCTCGACGATCTTCTCCGCGAAAACCTTTGAAATTCCGGCAGGATACTTGGATGCTATTTTAGTTTTGATGAGCTCATACCCTTCGGTTGTTGAAGCGCCTTGAAGCGAAAAAATATCGTCGTTTACGGACTTCAAGTTTAACCTCAGAGATTTGTATTTGTCCATGGTGTTAAACCTGATATGCAGTGTGCAGAACTTCAAGTGTATTTTCATGTTGATGCGAAGCAACAAGGCTCGAGCTACTAGCTGTTTTCCTCTGTCGCAAAACGCAGGCCGAATGTTCATCTTTATACCAGCGACAATACAGTTCCAGAAAATCCAGGCAAAGTTGTCGATGGTCTCTTTGTGAACGTAGGCCACTGCAATAGGCACATTTTGCTTGTTCCTGTCTTAACCAATAATTGTCAAACAAATGCCATTGTACGACGGATCCTTCATGTGCGTGCCATCGCACTCCCAAACAGGTAAAAATGCGTCTTGCACATTCACAGCACTACCAATAGATAAAAAGGCTCTATAAAACCTCCCCTCTGAGTCCAACTGACAACAAACCCGTAAACCAGGTTTTTCCCTGCAAACTCGCGTAGATAACTAGGGAGGCGTCCGTACTCAGCTACCGGGTCAAAGGGGTTCTGTTTTTTTGCTTGTGTAATGGTACGGTAGGCCATTGCAGGTTGCTTGGAAATGTCGACACCGTGAATTTCACTCATTGTCTTTACTACCCGCGCTTGTGAAGTGCTATGACCAGGAAGAATAGCTCCACGAAAACCAGGATGCTCCAACAGAAATTCAGTAGTCATTACAGCAATCCCAGGGCAAAGTTGTGTGTGGTTTAGCTCCATTTTAGAGATATACCATGATCCACATGGAATATGTAAAAGTTTAGTTGTAGGCTTTTTCCGCCGCTGCATGGTCGCTTCTTCATTAATTTTCGATTGACGTTTGCGTGACAAAGCTATAAACCAGCTACAACCGTTTTTGTGCTCAGAACACAGCCATTTTACGTGGGTCCCGCCACCTTCTTTCTTCCTCTCGACACTTTTGTTCATGTTAAAGGCGTAGTGCTTGATAAAAGAACCTGCCGTCTCTAAACTCACAAAGTGTATGTGCTGCTCAGGTTCTGCATATCCAAAGCGAGATTTCAGATCAAACTTATGAGCCTTACCTCTGAGGAAATCATCCTAACCGGCGGAAGCTTATGTCTGCAGTTGTTGGTTTTTCTACCAACCTTCGTACTAACAAAAGGTTTATACTGGGAATTCCTCCGAATACCCAAGCAGGATTAATTTTAACTAGTGCAAATTTAGAGACCTCGCCATTTTATTCTGGCCAACCAGATTCATTGTATCTTCTTCTGATAAATTGATCGCTCGTTGTATCATTGTCCTGATAAATATCCCCTTTAGACGTGTATCCTTAAACGCTAGGTGAAAAGCAAACTTATTCGACATGGTGTAGAGCAGCCCCCGGAAAATTCGGCAGCAATAGTCTCGCATATTGTCTTTACAGAAAAATTCTCAGCTTTGGCAAAGCTTCCAAACGCGTTGAAAGCAGTCAGACGAGCCATACTGGAAATTCTCTGCAATAATTTTAAGTCCTTCGTTCACGGAGTAGTGGCGTACACCATAATTAAATCATGGATTGGAGCGGGGTCGAAGCTGGTGAAAGAAGAAAAGGATAATATGCTGTGTTCGTAATCAATTTCTATTGCCCAAACGTACTCGATGTTTTATCATTTCCTGCTACACTGTATGTTTTTATATCGAGCCTTCATGAATTTACTGTTGCTCTTGACAGGCAAATCGTTTTACGGAAATTGAGCTGCAATCAGAACCCCTGATACCTAACTCTGTAATTTATTTCAGAGATTTAAACGACTATTTTTGATGAGTCACACTCACTTTTCTGACGAGTCACGCGATGGTTGATCCCTGTGCTTTGCATTCTATTTTCTTTCACAACGAACAGCGACTTCCATTAAAAAAGGTCCGCAACTGTGCTTTTAGCGTTTAGATTGCATTTTATATGGTTTTATTGAAAGTGATTCAAATGACTGACATTGTTTTCAAAATCAATGTCGACTGGAAGCGAATTTGACTTACATTCGTTTTGGGATACTTTCTAAAGGGTTTTTCCAGCGCCTTTTTGGTGAAAAGATGATAAGATACGGCTCCTACGATAAGCATTATTTTGTGAAACACGGCAGTAAGTCAGTCGGAGTTACATACATCATACATATATTAAGGCATTTCTGCATGTAAGCATCTGCCAAACATGAATCAGACTGATGCTGAGGCGTTTTATTTCTGTAGAATGACTTAATCCAATCTCCTTAAAAGTAACGAAAGGCGAGGAGTTGAAAATAAGAGCGCTGTTTATAAAAAAAGAAGCTTGCCTTACTTAAAAAACAACGCACGATTTAAGTCTCAGATGTTTCGATTCTGTAAAGGCTCGACGCTTTTTCTTTTCTAGACCGCACATCAAATGAGAAAAACCAGGATATTCAAGTTGTGGCTTTAAATTTCGTTGATCCTGGCCATCATGTCTCCTAAGTACAGAGTGTGCATTGCAGCCATACCAAAATCCAATTTAAATCAAAATGGTGGACATGTTGTCTTTTGATTTAGGGAATAATGCTTAAGGTCGTGCGGCGTGATAAGTAGACGGCTTTCGGTCATGTAGTCTCCATTGCAACTTCATTCGCTTTCATTTCGATGGTGCGTTTGAAATCGTGACTCAACAAGTAAAATCGTGGCTATCACACTTCTACTTGTTCTATTACGTACTTGTATCTTCGAGCAAGGCCTACCTATTAAAGACTGTGGTATCAAAACGTCAAGCCGCGTACACTTCATTTCTCGTTTTGGTATCGGAAAAACAACCAACTCTTCTCCTCCTCCCGCTCGTCATTGGCATACATGTATATGCTCATGTCGACACTTGTCGTAGCTACTACTTTGGCAAGCAGCATCTTACTCTTTCTAACCGTCGATGCTCACCAAGTGATGCTGAAGCCCGAGCCTATCTGGAAGCCCGGTATTAGCGACCGCGATACCAGATGGAGACTCCTCGCATTCCTCGAATCCCAGGGCTTCCCGTGCCAGGAAGACTTCGACGGTTGGCGTGCCAAGAACGGCTACAAGGACCTGCGTGACTTTATGGACCGAGACTTCGGTCACGCCTGGCGCCGATCAAACTTGTGGCTTAACCGAGGTTAAAGGCCCACCACGACCTATTTCAAAGGATGGTATGGTAACGTCAACGGGCTACACGCATGACGGACCGTGCGCTTTTTATCTCGATGACGTGCTTGTTATGGAGTATGATAACTGTCACGAGAGTATCACCAGCAGGACACACAAGATCGACTTCTCGTCCTGCCAAAAGAAAGGTGGCGGCACACTTTACTGGTTCTGGTTGGGAATCCGTTTTGTAAAGAGCCGCTGGTCCCGGCAAGCTTACAAAGAATGCATTCCGTTGACGGCAGAGGGAGGTGGCCATGGGGACAACGTCGGTCAAGTCGACAACGTCGGTCAAGGTGGCAGTGGCGCTCAACATGGAAATGATTATCAAGGCCAAAACGAAGCCAACGGTGATCAGAATGATCAAGGCGGAAACGAAGGCAACGGGGGCGACGGCGGCCAAGGACCAATATCCGTCAAGGTGACGTCGGTCGCCGTGGCAACGATAATCATGGTGTCAATGGCGGCAACAATCGGCCGGGCCAGCACCAAGACCATCACCACCACATGCAGTTGCGAATGTAGACTTTAGACAGCCACGAGTTTCGCTGAATTCTGTGTTGTTGATGACTTTCCTCCTATTGCCAGGTCACTGAAGGATGCTTGTGTTTTTTTTTAGTGCTTGATAAAAGCTGTTACTGTATCGTATCAGAAATAGTCGAGCACTTACTTTCCCTAAAAACAATTGGTTTGATGCTGTGTTGCCTACATAATTTCCGTCTTATTCATAACGCCAATTGTTAATGAGCGACCTGTCCTCTGTCGTAATTTCTAAGTTCAACCAAACTCGGAGGAGTTAGACATTACTGTTGGCCGACCAGTGTGTTACATTCCGATGTGACAGCTAGCTCATAAGGCCCAACTAGCAAATACGGATACCATATCCCGCTTTAGGATGCAACTATCTTCGCGTCCTTCTCGGCATTTTCTTAGACATCGTGCAACCAATGCACGACAAGCCGATCATGCTACGAACGAGCGTGTGCGTCAGATGGATTGAGTTTCGACGTAAGAGACTTGAATTACATAACCACTCGTTTGATCGGGCACGGACATTTCCGAACGTCGCAATAAACCGCAATCTATGCGTCGGTATCCGTCAGTAACCGACCATACCTACACACGGGAGATAAATGGCCTAGACTTGCAATCTATAATCGGACAATCGTTTTATGCAAAGTCTTTTAGCTACTAAAACATGTATTGGTAATAATACAAATAGTCACAAGCCAGTTCTTATTGTTAAAACAATTGTACGCGACTGTACTTGGTCTCCATTATCAGACCATCGCTGGTGGCCCTTAGTATTTGCAACTGGAACGTATCAGACATACAAACTTAAGTGCATTTATTTCAATGGTGCGTTGTAACCGTGACTTATCAAGTAAAATCGTGACTCATCAAGTAAAATCATGACAGCTTTCTACATATTGCCGCGATTTTACTTTCAAATGCGAGGTATTTCAATACCACACTTTTGATGGTTCCTTTACATTCAATGTACTTCAATGGGAGTATGTCTAGTACGTTGACCATTTGAAGGCTCGATCGGAAACTACGCTCACCTAACATGCATCTTTAGGGAGGGCATTGTTTCCACCTCATTTTTGATTTTGCAGTCGACACGCCTCACACCTCTCTTCACCCAACAAGTCTCCATGGTGCCTTTGCTTCTGGTGGCTATTGCCTTGCTCAGCAATTCTCTTACTGCTGTTGCTCATCAACTGATTCAGCAGCCCGAGCCTATCTGGAAGCCCGGTATTAGCGACCGCGATACCAGATGGAACCCTCTCGCATTCCTCGAATCCCAGGGCTTCCCGTGCCAGGAAGACTTCAACGGTTGGCGTGCCAAGAACGGCTACAAGGACCTGCGTGAACTTTATGGACCGAGCTAAGTATGTGACTTCGGTCACGTCTGGCGCCCATCAAACTTGTGGCTTAACCGAGGTTAAAGGCTCACCACGACCTATTCCAAAGGATGGTATGGTAACGTCAACGGGCTACACGCATGACGGACCGTGCGCTTTTTATCTCGATGACGTGCTGGTTCTGGAGTACCCCAACTGCCACGAGAGTATCACCAGCAGGACACACAAGATCGACTTCTCGTCCTGCCAAAAGAAAGGTGGTTGCACGCTTTACTGGTTCTGGTTGGGAATCCGTTTTGTAAAGAGCCGCTGGTCCTGGCAAGTTTACAAAGAATGCATTCCGTTGACGGCCGAGGGAGGTGGCAATGGGGGCAACGTCGGTCATGTTGACAACGTCGGTCAAGGTGGCAGTGGCGCTCAACGTGGAAATGATAAGGGGGCAGATTTTTTAATGATATTTTTGGCTATTTTCTATGACATTTTGGCTTTTTTATAAGTCAGAGGATTAATTGTATGTAATTGTATGCAGCTACAGTACGTACAGTAGGTAGAAATGCGAGTGTTTCCGAGCACGGTTATTCTGTGTTTTTGGGTGATTATATAGTTATCTGTTTGATTTTCTAGACTAAATATGGATTACTAGCCGAGCGCCGCCGCTACGCGGCGGTAGTTTTGGCTACGTCCCACTTGGTAGGGTCTTTTTCGTCCCCGCTTCGCTTCGACGGGCCTTTTTTACCGGTACATGTACTAATAGATAAGCCTAAACGGATTCTTCATTTTCATTACATGTAGTCGGATCACAATTTGGACTACCAAGCACGTTGTTTAACAGAAATCTACAATTAAACTCAGAGAAAGTCGTTTGTTATAAGTAATTTGGAGCCATGTTAAAAAAACATATTTATTAAAAACTGAGCTCCAAGTAAGTTGCGCAATATTTCTTAAAAATGCTGAGCCTCCACCGTGTTGTTTGCGATACTATTACGGAAATACTGAGCTCCAAGTAGTTTGCGCAATACTTTTACAAAATACTGAGCGTCCACCATGTTGTTTGCAACACTATTATGAAA